GTCCTCAGGATATGTTGTCCATGTATGGTGTGGGTGTGTGTGGCAGGTGTGTTGTCCGTGGGGAGGTGTCCTTGGTGTGTGTGTGTGGTGTGTGTGAATGTGTGGTGTGTCCTGGGGGGGCGGTTTGTCTGTGTGTGTGTGTGGTGTGTCCTCGGGGCCCAGATCCCCCCTCTCAGAATTGAGGGAGCATGCTCACTGCATAGGGAGCCACGCGGAGGGTAGACCTGCCTCTGTGGGTTTGCAAGGAGACATAGAGGGCCCCTAGAGGGGCATCTCTTTCTGCCCTCAAGGACCAGAGGTATGGGAGAACTGGGGCCTGGGGAGGGGGTGCTCTCACATGACTCCTGGGGCCACCCGTGAGCTGCCCTCGGATGCTGTACACTTAGACCCTGACACCTCCGTCACCTCAGCTGGGCGGGTGTTGGTGTGGTCTTTCTGGCTCCTTCCTTGACCCCAGGCAGGCAGAGCAGGCCGTGAGCAGTCCCTTGGCCCAACACTGCTCCTGTCTCCCCAGGAGGCCCTGTGCGTCCCCACCTGGGTGTACGGGCCGCGCAGCTTCCCCTCGGGAGCCAGGACTGTGGTTACCCATTCCCAGATGAAGGTGGGGCCTAGGGAGGCAGGTTAAGAGGCAGCCAAGTGCAAGTCCCCAGGTCTTGGGGGGGAGGGCAGGGGCGGGGGTCCATAGGCCCCCCTAGGAGCTCAGCACACAGCCTGATGTCTCAGGGGCCAACGGCTCCCACCACGAGGACGTCCGGCCTGGCGTTTGGGGACCTCGGGTGAGGTCACAGGTGTGATGGAGAGCCACAGGCTCCGAGGGGGCTCTCTGTCTCACCCTGATGGCTGGCCGGTGGCCTGCAGGGCCCTGGGTCATCTCTCAGGATGCTGTTTACAGCAGTGGCTCTTAGCCTATGGGTCGCGACCCCTTTGGGGGTCGAACAACCCTTTACAGGGGTCATCCGATTCATAACAGTAGCAAAATGACAGTTATGAAGCAGCAACAAAAATAACTTTATGGTTGGGGGTCACCACCACCTGAGGAACTGCATGAAAGGGGCACGGCCGTTAGGAAGGTTGAGAACCCCTGGTTTACAGAGACGCATTTGGCAGAGGAAGTCAGGAGGGGGGCCCATGCCTGTGGCCCCTCCTCCGAAGAGTTGCCTGAAGGTGGGGGCAGGGGGCTGATTGGGCAGTTGTGCCATGGTGGGAGGAGGGGGCATAGTCAGGCCCTTGGGGAGCTCTGGGCCCCCTGACACAGCAACAGAACACGTCCACATCACCCCCAATGTTGGGACAGGCGGTAGAAGGTCTGGGTGGCGTCAGTGCCAAGCGCAGCGAATGGCATGGTCCCAAGGTCGTTCCCTGGACTTCCCTGCCAGTGTGTGTGTGTGTGTGTGTGTGTGTGTGTGTGTGTGTGTGTGTTCAGCAGAGCCGGCCCACGTGACAGGCGAGGGGGCTGAGGTTCAGAGAGACCCCGTTAGCAGGTGATAGGGTGGGGCCTGAAGCCATTTCCAGGCGTCAACTCCCATGGCGTGTGCTCCGCACAGGGACAGGGAGCCCGTCCACCGCCCAGCACTCAGGCTCCGCCTGCCGGGTCAGCCTCCACTGCCTTCCTGAGTAAGGGCGGGCTAACCTGGTGCGGGCACAGGCAGCACACACCACCAAGTGACCTGCCACCAGAAACCTCTCCACTCCAGGGCGTCCGCTGTCCGCAGTGCACCTGGCCTCTCAGACCGGGGCTGGCGGGAAGGTGGGGGAGACCGGAGGCAGGGGAGGGGGACTAAGAAAACGACCCCTGGGGCAGCGCAAAACGCACCAGACTCACTGCTAGTGCGGTTCGGTTCGATCCACTGCCTACCAAAGTCACCGTCGGTTCCGATCCATAGCGACCGCAGCAGGGAGGGGCGCGGGGTGGGGTGAAAATAAACCTCGTACTGGTGCGGTATTTCCCTCCACCCTTCCTCCTCTACCCCAACCCTCACAGAAAGAATTAAACTCGCTGCCACTGAGTTGATTCCAACTCAGAGCGATCCTATCAGACAGGGTAGTATCCCGTCCCCACCCCCGTGGGCTGACAAGACTGTAACTTTTCACAGGAGTAGAAAGCCTCCTCTTTTCCCTCGCTGTGGCTGGTGGTTTTGAACTGCTGGCCTAAGGCAGTTAGCAGCCTAAGGCCTAGCCACCAAGTCCCTCAATCAATGCACTTGATGGCCAGGCCTCAGCCAACAGGGGGGACCAGGCCCAAGTGAGCTCCTTATCAAGACCCGGTGCCCTGCCCCCGCCCTCAAGGCCTGGAGAAGCTTCTAGACAGAGCTTGCCTGGCAGACGCTCGCAGCACACGCAGCTGTGAAACATGAGGCTCAGAGACAGCAGGGGTTCTCCCTGGGTTCCTGAGAACAGAGCAGAGGCCCAGAGCCCCAGCCCCAAAGCTGTCCCATCTCCTGGCCCCAGGATCCCCCCGTGGCCCCATGGGCTGGAAGGGGACAGAAGCAGGGCACCCACAGACAGGAGCTCAGCCAAAGTCCAGCCACACAGGCTGCATTTATTGACGTGCTCTCAGTGACTCGTCCCCGCGCCGAGACAAATGGACTTGGGTCCCCACTGTACAGATGGGGAAACCGGGGCCTGTAGAGTCCTGGAGGTAGGTCTGGCGTCGGAGGGGGTTGGGCAGGCAGCGTCCTGAGCATCTACCACAGCGGCTCAGTGCCAGACTTTCACAGCGCCGTCCCAGGAGCAGGTGGCCAGGGCACAGGGCAGCACGGGGTGGAAGGTGACGCCGACACAGGCCTGTGTGTGTCCCTGCCGAGCACATGCCCGGCTGGCTGTGCGGAAGTTGTACAGCAGGATCTGACCGTCGGCACTGCCTGTCACCAGCAGGTCCCCATCTGGGGAGCACTCACAGCCCACTGAATAGCCTTCCACCTGTGGGGGCAACATGGGAGTGGAAGTGAGCGGGCAGCACCCAGCAACGCACAGCTGCCCCAGGTAGACCTGTGAGCTGGCTGAGATGTGTGCCCATTCTGGAGGGCAAGCTGAGGCTCTGAGAGGGAGGGGCCACCCGGGAGCTGGGCTTCACACACACACACCCGCTGAGCTCTGAATAGGGCAGATGCCCTGCCCTCGCCTCCCTCCCCACCTCTGCTTTGTCCATGCGGGCTGGGGTGGACCAGGGTCCCCGGTGGATGTCAGGCCACAGGGCCACCCAGGGACAGAACCCAGAGCTGCCCACCCAGAAGCCCTTTGGGGGTTGTCAGAGGACGGGGGTCCGGGATGGCCATACCTTGTGTCCCTCATAGCGCCGACGCCTGCTCATGCGGTAAGGCCACACGGCGGAGAAGAGGGCCAGGTAGTTGCCATTGGTCTGGGCCAGAAACACTGGCTCCCGCGGGTGCAAGGCGAGGCTGGGGCAGGTGTACCTCTCCTGAGGGGGAGGAAGCCACAAACAGGCTCAAGGTTCAAACCTCTGCCACCGGCAGACCCCTGCCCCGCCCTCCGCCCAGCTTTACTCCAGAAGCCTTTCCTGTGGCTGTTGTAACAAATGACCACACACACACACACAAACTGCACGAATGATGTGGCCATGTTGGAGGGCAGAGGTCCCCACAGGCTGCTGGGCGAGAGTCTGGCGTGAGTAGGGAGGTGGCTGCCAGGGGCCCAGGCAGAGCCTGCCCTTTGCCCTTCGCAGCAGGCACACATCACCTGCCCTTCTTGGCTCTGGGCGCTGGTGGTCAGCTGGCCTGGGGGCCCCCAGCAGATACCCAAGCCCTGACCCTGGGCTCTGCAAACGCCACCTGGTGTGGCAGGAATGAAGAGTCTTCGAGAGGTCATAAGTTAAGGACCTCGGCCTGGCAGGAGGATGCTGTTTTATCAGCGGGCAAGAGAGGCAGTCACATGCGTGTGTGCGTCTGTCTAAGAAAGCCCAAACAACAGACTCTGCCACGGAAGAGATGCCACGCACAGCGACCCTAGAGGCCAGGGCAGAACTGGGATTCCACGACTGTGACCCTTTATCTCTCCCTGGAGGGGCAGCTGGTTGCTCTGGGTTACTAGCCTGATGGTGAGCAGCCCAGTACATGCACAGCCTCGATATCCCCAGGGCTCCTGTATGCATGTATTCTACGAGAGCCAGGTGGGCACACAGAAGGGAGGGGTGGGGTTGGAGACCGGGCTGAATGATTAAAGTAACGCAGCCAGGAGCCAAGGAACGCGGCCCCGTAGCAGCTGCAGCAGACCAGAACAGTTCTCCCCTAGTCTCGAGAATGTGGGTGACCTCTGCCAACAGCCTGACATTGGCCCACTGGGCCGGATGTGCACGTCTGGCCTCCAGAGCTCTGAGAGGATAAACAGTGTTGCTTCGGGCCACCAAGTTTGCAGTGACTTTTCATCGCGGTCGGGCACACAGGAGGAGGCAGGGTGGCGGCCTCCCTGGTAGGACACAGTCATGCAGACTCCTGCATGACAGGCTTGTCCTCACCCTCAGGGTCCTTGTGTTGCCGTGGCGCCACACGCTGAACACGGGCCCCGCTCCAAGGGCAAAGTAGGGGCACCCATGCCCGGCAGAGGCAGGGTGCCATTATGGGCAGCTGCCGCCTCACCCAGTAATGAGAAGGCCTGGGCACGGTGAGGAGCACTGACCCCGCGGCCTGGCCCTCCCGGCCCTGGCCTGTCTCCCTGGACTGTCTTCACAGCGGGCAGCACGAGGACCTGAGTGGAGGCCTCGCTGGGTGTTTTCTCAGGGCCCCTTGGAGTGAAAGGCAGGGAGGAAAAGAGGCAGGTCCATATATCAACCTGATCGACTCTTTTCATTGAAACCCATGGTGGCAAACGGGAGTTGATGGTTGGTGCTAGTGGTGGTGGCAATAATGGTGGTGGTGAAGGCAGTGCTGGTATTCGTGGTGGGGACAGTTATGATAATGGATTGGTGAGTGATAGTGGTAGTGGTAATGGTGGTGGTGGAAGCAAAGGTAGAGGTGGTGGTAATGACCGTGGTGGTGGTGGTGATGATGTTAGTAATAATGGTGGTGGTGGTGGTAATAAT